CATCTGCGCCCTGGTGGTCAGTGCACGTCATAGCGAGCAGTTGAGCGGCCTTAGCATATCATTAGCATATTATGCTTTGATTGGTTGAAGGGATGACCGGACACTTAGCATATTAGGCTTTTATTATATAGGATATTTAATTGGATGAGAAGTTACTGTAATGGGAAGAAACTATCCTATATAATAATTTTTCATGCAGTACCCTTAAAACTCAACAAGAAAACCTGATTTTAAAATAGGCTAAAGATCTAAACATATCCCTCACCAAAGAAGATATATAGATGGAAAATAAGCATATGAAAAGATGCTCCACATCATATGTAATAAGGGAATTATGAATTAAAACAATGAGATACCACTGCACACATACCAGAATGGCTAAAATCCCAAACATTGACCAGGCCAACTGACTAAGATATTCAGGGTACCTGATACTTCCTGCTTTTTAGGTTTTATCAGCATTTTATCATAATTATAGTGGGACTGTTTAACGACTTATGGTATGCTAAGATTATCAAAGTCCCTGTGGAATAAATTGTGGCACAGAGGCAGAGAGTTAACACGGTCCTGAGGCAAAATGATGAAGGTGTACTTCTGCCCTTGCCAGGTTAAACAAGACTACCTCTGGTTTTCTTTGCTTATTGAAATAAAAAACATTTGCAAGTTAACAACTTTATTATAGGTGGCAGACACTTGTTTTACTCTCTCTGGAACAGCAGTATCATTGGAGTCATCACATGTCTTAACCTTTCAACAATCCACTGTCATTCTCCAGCCCTTCTGACTTATGCATGAGCCAGACAGATGAGTTAAGTCGGTAACAGGAATCACCTCCTCTGAATTTTCAGCTCTTTGATGGTTATGCTAGTCTTGCATTTCCCCCAGCAATACATTGGTTTTGTTTGTAATTCTGTTAGTAAGGAAGCCTTTTCAACCATAATAGTCCCATTCTGTGGATTAGAGTCATATTCTGCCACTTGCTGAATATTCCTAGTCTAATTATATAATCCAAAACTGGAGAAATCATGGGGAAATGGGTTTAAGGACTGTACTGTGAGGTCAATTGGAATCAAAAAGTCTATCACTTGACTCCATAAGCCTCCACTAAACCAACTACAACTTGGGCATTAGAGCCAATGCCAACAATCCCCAAGGGCACAGTTATTCTATTAGGGCTGCCGTATTGAAGTACCACAAACTAGGTGACTTCAAACAATGGAAATGTATTCTCATGGTCTAGAAAACACGTCCAAAGTCAAGGTGTTGGCAGGGTTGGTTTCTTCTGGAGACTCTAAGGGAGACTATTCCATGCCTCTCTTTGACCCGCTGAGGTTACCAGTAATCCTTGACGTTCTTTGTCTTGCAGTTGCATCACTCCAACCTCTGCCTCCATCCTCACATGGTGTTTTCTCTGTGTGTCCATGGCCAAATTTCCCTCTTCTTATAAGGACTCCAGTCATTGGGTTAGGGCCCATACTAATCCAGTATAATCTGCAAAGAACCTATTTCCAAATAAGGTCTCTATTTCACAGGTACCTGGGGCAAGGACTTCAACATATCTTTTTGGGAAACACAATTCAACCCGTATAATTGCCCTGGAAAATGACTACAGGTCCCGTTGGGGAAGCTTGAAAGGAATATATTAACATTTATCCTTCCTCAAGTGAACCTGCCTTCATTCAAGGAACTCTGTGAACTAACCCAGGCCTGGAACTTGAGTAAGAGACCCTAACTCTCTATTTTGTCTTAAGTTGGTCCACTGTTCACCAGCTCCTGAAGACTTTTGGTTCTATAAGTCAGTTAGGATCTTAGTGAACTTTCCATATTGTTTAGTCAGATCTGTAGTATCTCCCCTCAACATCCCTGGCGTCCAGAAACCAGTTACTACAGTACTTTCCAAATATGTCATCACTCTCACAAATATATGTCTCAATGCCTTGGTGAGTCATCTGGAGACACTCAGGGGATGGAGTTGGGAGTGGATGAATCACACTTAGAAATCTAGAAGGAAAGGTTTATAAAGCAACATTCTCCTTACGTGTTTAGATTCTTATAAATTATACCAAAGGATCCTTGGCATCTCAATCTCATTTAACTTCATCAGTGAACCCAGTTTTCATTCAACCAAGTGAAAACAAATCAACTATACACCCACCAGGATGGATAAAATTTGAACTTTTTGACACTGATGAGGATGATTGTAGAGCAACCAGAATTTACATACATTATTGGTGGGAGTATAAAATGGCACAACCACTTTAGGAAACGATCTGGCAGTTTCTTATAAAACTAAACACACATCTACCCCGCGACCAATATTTCCAAGAGAAATGAAAACATATATCCACACAAAACAGACTTGTATGTAAGTGTTCATAGCAGCATTATTCATAATAGTCCACAACTAGAAGCAACCCATATATCCATCAACAGAATGGCTAAACAAACTGCAGTATTATATTAGTGTTCTATTGCCATGTAAAAAATAATCCCAAATTTAGCAGCCTAAAACAATATTCATTTACTCACAATCCTATAAGTCAGAGTCTGGCATGGTTCTATGCTCAGAACATGACTTAGTTCTCATCTGCTCAAGATCTCAGTGTCAGCCAGGCTGCATTCCTTTCTGGGGACCCTAAGGAAGAATTCACTCCCAAGTTTATTCAGCTACTTAGCTGAGTTCGATTCCTTGTGGTTGTAGGACTGAGGTCCTGTTTTCCTACTGGCTGTCAACTGGAAATCACTCTCGGTTCCTAGAGGTCACTGCTTTCTTTGCCATGTAGCCCCTCCACCTAATAATGAAAAATCTTCCTGTTGAGTCTCTCATGCTTCAAATCTGACTTCACTGTTTCTGATCTCTTGACCCAAATGTAAAGGGTTCATGCCATTAGGTCAGATCCACCCAAATAATTACCCTTCTTAAAAGCCATCTGTGAACCCTAGCTGGTTTGGCTCAGTGGATAGAGCATCAGCCTATGGACCAAAGGGTCCAGGGTTCGATTCCAGTCAAGGGCACATACCTTGGTTGCAGGCTCCTCCCCGGCCCGGGCCCTGGTGGCCCAGACCCTGGTAGGAGCTTGTGCAGGAAGCAACCAATCGATGTGTTTCTCTCACATCCATATTTCTCTCTTTCCCTCTCTCTTCCACTCTCTCTCAAAATCAATGGAAAAATATCCTTGGGTGTAGAAAAGCTATGTGTGATATAAGACATAACCTAATCACAGCAGTGCTATTCTCTCGTAGTCACAAGGCTGGAGAGTGTACAGGGCCTATACACCAGGAGGCAGGAATCTTGGGGGACATCTTAGAATTCTGCCTATACAGGTATATACTCAGCAATATACTGAGCAATATAAAGGAATGAACTATTGATACAACATTGATGAATCTCAAAAACATGCTGAATAAAAGAAGGCTCACACTAGCCCTGACCGGTTTGGCTCGGTGGATAGAGCATCGGCCTGCGGACTGAAGGGTCCTGGGTTTGATTCCAGTCAAGGGCATGTACCTTGGTTGTGGGCACATCCCCAGTGTAGGGTGTGTAGGAGGCAGCTGATCGATGTTTCTCTCTCATCGATGTTTCTAACTCTCTATCCCTCTCCCTTCCTCTCTGTAAAAAAATCAATAAAATATATTTTTAAAAAAAAGAAGGCTCACACAGAGTGCCCAAAGGAAATCAAGAACAGACAACATTAATCTATAGTGGAAAAGAATCAAAAGAGGGGTTACCTCTGGGGGAGTGGGGGTTGGTATTGATTTGGGAGAGGCATGAAAGAAGTTTCTGGGATGATGATAAGAGATTGGGTCACACATGTTTCTAATTCACTGAATGGTACACTTAAGATTTATGCATTTCACCCTAGCTGGTTTGGCTCAGTGGATAGAGCATCAGCCTGCGGGATAAAGGGTCCCGGTTCAATTCCAGTCAAGGGCACATGCCCAGGTTATGGGCTCCATCCCCAGTGGGGGGCATGCAGGAGGCAGCCAATCAATGGTTCTCTCTCATCATTGATATTTCTCTCTCTCCCTCTCTCTTCCTCTCTGAAATCAATAAAAATATATTTTTAAAAAATATTTATGCATTTCACTATATGAAAATTTTACTTAAAAATTAACAAATAATATTTTTCTCTGCTTAATGATATGGGTCTTGGGGCCAAGTATATGGATGTCTGCCACTTACTGTGAATGCATCTAAAAATACAATGGATTGACAAATGGATAGAAGAATGAATAGGTGAATGGATAGATGATCAAGTGAATATAATGTTATTTTAGACTCTAGGAAAAGATGAATTTTCTTTAAAAAAAGGAATGAGAACTCCCAGCTATTAGAATTGGCACATGGAATCCAGGCTCTATGGTCATGCACTCATACTGATCAGTTTGGCCTGATTTTAAATTATGTTCCTCCTTCCTCGCCCAACACCCTCAGAATCCATTCCCACATGTATTTGCCAGACTTTATGAATATAAATTTGAAAAATCTTTTAATTCTTTTAGTGGGAAAGCTTTTTTGGAATTTGACCTCCTATTTGACCCCGAGGAATGTTAGAGTCTGATTCTAGTTATGAGTGTGGAGACAATGAAGTCAGTGGGATGGGGCATGAGGAGACTTGGCTTTCTCTTACCAGATAATTCCCCATGGGAAAGCCTGTACATGGTCTTCAAATAAGAGGAAGGCAATCCCTTAAACAGGGAGAGGGTGCTATCATAGCTGGCTATTTTCAGGGGGAAGTTGGGGTTGTGACAGAGATTGCTAATTGCAGGCTATGGTAGATATCTCCTGACACGACTCCCAGTGATCCCTGCCTCCTGATGCTCATGCCTTTGTGTAATCCCCTCTCTTTGAGTGTGGGCAGGGCCTAGTAACTTCTCTTTATTTTTTTAAACATTTTTTTATTGATTTCAGAGAGGAAGAGAGGGAGAGAGAGAGAGAGAAACATCAATGATGAGAAAGAATCATTGATCAGCTGCCTCCTGCATGCCCCACATTGGGGATCGAGCCCGCAACCTGGGCATATGCCCTGACGAGGAATCGAACAGCGACCTCCTCATTCATAGGTTGATGCTCAACCACTGAGCCATGCCAGCCGGGCTCTAGTAACTTGTTTCTACGCAACAGAATATAGAATGTCATTCCTGGGATTAGGTTATAAAAAAGACTGACTTCTATCTTGCTGGCATTCTCTCTGGATCTTACATGCTTGCCTTGATGAAGAGGCCCATATGGCAAGAAACTGAGGGCAACCTCTGGCCAACACCTGGTAAGGACTGAACCCTTCAGTCCAACAGCCCTGGAGGAACTGAGTCCTGGCAAGGACCATGTGAGTTAGCATGGAATCAATCTTTCCTCGGTCAGGACTTGGAGACTGCAGATGGAGCACCCTGAATGCAGCCTGATTGAAGACTGCAATGTAAGCCATGCCCGGATTCCTGACCCACAGAAACTATGAGATTTATTTTGTTACATTATTGTTATTTTGGATTTTCCCTTATGTATACCCAACCTGACTCTAACTCCTAGAGGGCTTAAGTGTTCCACACCTCCTCACAATCCTTGCATTCCTCATTCCCTTTATACTGCTCTCTGATAGCCCCCAAAACTATGCTTTTAATGGACACTTCATTCCAGGTGACCACTGGCAATAAATTGGTGAACTGGTTTTGTTGTTGTTTTTTAAATATACTTTTATTGATTTCAAAGAGGAAGGGAGAGGGAAAGGGAGATAGAAACATCAATGAGAGAGAATCACTGACTGGATGCTTCCTGCACGCCCCCTACTGGGGATCGAGCCAGCAATCCAGGCATGTGCCATGACAGGGAATCGAACCATGACTCCTGGTTCATAGGTTGACACTCATCCACTGAGCCACACTGGCCAGGCTGATGAATTGTTTTTGTTTGTTTGTTTGTTTTTTTACCACTGAATACCTCTCCATCTCTGAGTTGTCATTGCCTTTAATCCCAATCAGGTCACACAACTATTCCCAGAATCCAACCAATTCTCTGAGAGTCTGATGTGCTCAGCCAGTCTAGTACCAATTTCTATATCAGAGTCATTAGGTATAAGAAATAGAAACCAATTCCATCTTATTTAAGCAAAAAATAATGTTATTCATAAAATATATTAGATATCTTGGAGAAATATTGGAATGACTGGGGGACCAGATACAGAGCACAGAACTAGAAACAATGCCCTAAATTAAGCTGCATTATTGTCTCCATGAGGGACACCTGTCCCTTGCACAACTGACATGGTTGGCACTCAACCCACAATGCTGCCAAGATCAAGCTCTGTAGGGGCCCTGCTACACCTAGAACTGATATTGCTGCAACCTCACTGACCTGGGGATAATTCCTATGGTTCCTGAGTCCTCGCTGCCTTAGCTAGATTCCTTAGCTTAGACTGTGATCAGTGTACATGATTGGCTGATCCTAGGTTAAGTGTCTGAATTTTGGTTGTGAGGGAAATTCAGAAAGTGAATTTCTGGCATCCATCAGGTGGGGATTTCCCCTAACTTAGAAAGTGGTTTCAGATGCCAGATGCCAAAAAAGAATAATAAATGTCAACTCTTTTCTGCTGTCAGGCCAGGGTACCAAGGAAGACTGGGAGAATCACACTTCCCTAATTCCTCTATCTTCCCAAATTTCATTTCACCTGTCAGGCATTCACTATTTCCTAATCAATGTGGCAGAGAACATGGCTAAAGCCAATCAGCAAAGCACTTGATTATCCTGTTGCAACCTCAGATTGCTGGCCATAGTCAGAGGTTTCCTTACCAGAGTTACATCTGCTCCTCATCTTCTTGAGCCCCCGCCCCTTAAAGCACTTTCCTGAGGTTGCCAAATATAGGCAGTATACCCCAATATTTACCATTTTTCTATTTAATCCTCTGAAGTTGCAACCACAGGGCAAGGGGGAAAGTTGAGGTCGAGTTCTAAGAGACAATATGCAGTAGAATTCCCAGCTACTTCATTATCACCTAACAAAGATATTTCATTTCCAGGCTCAATGGAGAGATTTTCACTGCATCCCACCCTACATCAACAGGGCTAGTTCCATATTTTAGGGTCTGTCATTTGCATTGCTACATACCTTAAATCAAATTTTTAGTTAAATCTTTTTGTTTGAAAGTGATAGAAATCCAACTTGAAGTAGATTAAGCATAAAGAAGAATGGCAGGGACACGACTGCACCTTTCTCCTCCCCCTTCTCCTCCCCATTCCCCACAGGATTCATGCATCTCCTAAACTCTAAGAGACCCCATCAGGATTGGAACCAGGGAGGACAGCAATGGGCAGTGGCAGTTCATCCTGGCCAACCTCTTGAACCTGTCCCCAAAGCCCCCTTTTCTCTGACTTCTTAGTGAGCCAAAGCAGCCCAGCCCAGGTTCATTTCCCCACCTTGTCCTTCTCCTGTTATCCTAGGCCAGTGATGGCGAACCTTTTGAGCTCGGCGTGTCAGCATTTTGAAAAATCCTAACTTAACTCTAGTGCCGTGTCACATATAGAAATTTTTTGATAGTTGCAACCATAGTAAAACAAAGATTTATATTTTTGATATTTATTTTATATATTTAAATGCCATTTAACAAAGAAAATCAACCAAAAAAATGAGTTCGCGTGTCATAGGTTCACCATCACTGTCCTAGGCCCTTCCTTGTTTCACTGTCCCCAACTTTAATAAACAACCTCTAAAATGAAGAAGGAGGAGGAGGAGGAGGAGGAGGAGGAGGAAGAGGAAGAGGAGGAGAAAGTACTGGATAACAAAACCCAGCAAAGGGCTGAACAACTAATTTGAATAAGGATGTCTCAGGAATAACTAGAACTAGGCTTTTAAATTCTATCATGAGTCTATCTTTGCTTCAACTTCTTATTCATTCTTTATATATTTTATTTTTGTTGTTGTTCATCCTCACGCGAGGATATTTTCCCATTAATTTTCAGAGAGAGTGGAAGGGGGGGGGGGAGAGAGAAGAATCGATGTGAGAGAGACATTGATTGGCTGCCTCCTCCATGCTTCCCAACTGAGGGCTGGATCGAATCTGCAACCGAGGCAGGTGCCCTTGACCCTTCGGTCCCCACGCCGAAACTCTATCCTCTGAGCAAACCGGCCAAGATTTCATTCTTTCTTCATTGAAGACCACCTTCCTTCTTTTGATGATAGGGAACACGGCTACAAACATTTCCTGAATTTCATATGTATAGCTTTCATCATTCTAAAGAAAATAACTTGTTTCTCAATTTAAATAAGAAAAAAAGATTAAGGATTTTATGGACCTACACGTACACACACCTGAACCAATTATAGCTGAGGGTGGATTATGTAAGAACAATAGTTCCCTGGGTAGTCATGTGGGTGGAGGAGACAGTTCCCAAAAGAAAAGCTGCGCTGGGCTGGCCACACCACACATGTCCACTATGGCAGCCCTCAGGCAGGCCCCTTCCCACGCACAAAAACTTGAATAAGCTTGTCACTGTATGGCATGGTTGGTAGGATCAAACCTCCCCTCTCCCCCCCTTCCCCCCGCCCACCCTTTGTTTTGTAAAGGAGTCAACTCACTTCACCCTATGTGCCGTTCTCTTGCGCAGACAATGAAAACATTCTGGACAGAACCTCCCTATAGATAAGTTCTCATGTGCCCACCAGATTGGGAGATCCTTAAAGAAAGCATGCAGGACTAATTTATCCTCATGTGTCTAGTGCCCCATGAAGTTCCATCATAGATCAGACATTCAAAAAAATATTTGTAGAACTGAATAAAGATCTTTCCTCATTCTTCAGGGATCCATGAAGGCTGAATACTTTACTTTTGGCCCCAGAAAGGCTTAAAACTAGAAGCTCAAAATAAAAATGGAAATTAGCCTGATGATGGTCCAGTTGGTTGTAGTGTCCCGTACACCAAAAAGTTGCAGGTTTGATCCCGGTTAGGTCACATACCTAGGTTGTGGTTCGATCCCCAGATACGCGAGTAAGGGAGACAACTAATCGATATTTCATATTTCTCTCTCTCTCTCTCTCTCTCTCTCTCTCTCTCTCTCTCTCTCTCTCCCCCTCTCCCATATTCTCTCTAAATATATCCTCAGGTGAAGATTTAAAAAAAAAATAAAAAGGAAAGGAAATTACTTGACGACTGGGTAGCCGTATTAGTGGGAACAGTTGTTGTTCCCATAACAGAGAGACTATAGGATCTGAAAGACAGATTGGGAAAATATATAGTTAATGTGCTTGCCTCCAACCCTCTCTGGACCAGAAAGTCCTAGCAGGAGAGAATAGGGATTTGAGAACAGGGGCAGGGGAGGGGTGTATTCTGTTTATGAAGTTGGTAGATAAATAGGGTTGACAGTTCTAGGATCTTTAAGCAGCACCAGACAATGCTAATGTTTCACTGATAGATAAGCTTCATCCCTTATTAGAAGTTAGACATGGATGTCTGATCAAGCTTGGCTTCCAATCATAGTTGTACAATGATGACACTGAAGACATTGCTTCAGAGCGTGAGAAGATGCACTCCAGGGAGGAGCCACTGCTCCATGCTCTCCCCTCACAGGAGAGGACTGCCTAGGAGTACATTGGGTTAATAAGTCAGCATGGTGGCCACGCCCTGGGGCCAGGAGATCCTTGCTCAGAGTTCTGAGGGGAGGCTAACTTCAGTGGCTGCTCTTAGAAGTGGGAATAAGGTGGTGGTCTCAGGCTACCATTCTCCAAAAGACCTCAGGCAGAAAGAGTTCTCTAGCGCATGGGTCCTTCCTCATCCATTCTCATGATGCTTCCACTGGCCAGGCTCACAGAATAAGTATCAAAGTTGGGATGAGAGCAGACAAAAAAGGAACCTCCCCACGTTCCTTTTTGCATTGCTGCTCTCTCTGTGGGGGTAGTGGATGTCTTTCTACCCTGAAACACTCCCACTCTTTTTACTTCCACTCTTCCTACAGGACCCCTCTCTGGGTCTCAATCTCTTCATCTGCAAAAATTAATTAAAGGGCCAGGCTGGGTAACTCTGCAGGACCTAATATCTTCTGAAATCTTCAGGGAAGAGGTGATGCTGCCATCCATGCAAAGATAGGGTTCTGTGTCCAGATTACATATCTAGGTATCAGGTGTAACAGAGTGGTGGAGCCCGGCCACAGTGTGGTCTGGGTCTAGTCCAGCCGTGGGCAAACTACGGCCCGCGGGCCGGATCCGGCCCGTTTGAAATGAATAAAACTAAAAAAAAAAAAGACGGTACCCTTTTATGTAATGATGTTTACTTTGAATTTATATTAGTTCACACAAACACTCCATCCATGCTTTTGTTCCGGCCCTCCGGTCCAGTTTAAGAACCCATTGTGGCCCTTGAGTCAAAAAGTTTGCCCACCCCTGGGACGCTAGTCACACAGGGCTCAGTCACTTGGTGACAGGAAAGGGTGTTGTGGTGGTGATAGTAGCTAATTTATCTATATGTTTACTAGGTGCCAGGCACTATTTGGAGTGAGGGCTTGGATTTTATCCTGAGGGCAATGGAGAGCCAGGGGAAGTCTAAAGAGAGAGGTGGCACCATCTGATTTCCCAATTCTGAGATCCCTTGGGCGTCCTGTAGAGCAGTGGTTCCCAAGGTGGGGCACATGCCCCTCAGGGGGGGCAATTTGATTTTTAAGGGGGGCAATTTGAGAATGAGTTAT